GTGGGCCCGGGAAAGCCGCCGTTCCGCGCTGCGCGCCGCCGTGCCCGCCCCGCCCGCGCCGCCCGCGCCGCCGCCCGCCTCGCCCCGCGCCGCCTTCAACTTCATCGCCGACGTCGTAGAGAAGACGGCGCCCGCCCTGGTCTACGTGGAGATCGTGGGCAGGTACCCCGGCCCGCCGCCGTCCGGCGCCCTCGGCTCCCCCCGGCCCCGTGGCGCGGCTTCGCGGCCGCCGGCGTTGCCCTCGGGGCCTCCGGCAGCCCTGAGGTGCCGCGGCGCTGCCGCTCAGCCGGCCTTACGCTCAGCTTGCATGCCGCCCGCGTGGGCGCTGCTGAGATGCTGCAATATTACTGTTTGTAATATTGCAAAATTGCCCCGTTACCTCCTGATCTGCGCCACCGCTCATCGCAGCAGCCGGTCGGGTTGGTGCCCGTGGTTCGACCCGCGGTGGGTCTGTGCTGCTGCTCCCGGCCCCTTTTGCTTGCTGTGTGCATGGAAGTGCTTTCCTGCAGCGTTTGCCTCAGAATATCCCCGAAGGCAGGGTGAAACTAGCCGGTACTTTGGCCTCCATATCCTCACAGGTTGCTTTGATGCCTTTTTTCAGCAGTTGGGAACCACCTTGAGCCACTGTGACTTTTTAAAGGTCATTGATAGACTCACAGGGACATTAGCTCATCCTGTTTGGTCCTCGTGGCAAAGCTCTGTGTGTTCAGGTTGTATCTCTCCATAGGTCTGTGCATGTCTTTCCTAAAGACTGCAGTGTCTATTGCAGCTCTCTGTTACTGTGCGCTTCCCAGTGTGCTTCCATGGTCCTTGTGAGGGGACGCTTTTGCCATTGCACGTGGATTTCTGGTTCCTCCTGCTTGCTGCCCCATTGCGTGCAGGGTTGTGCTATCTCTTGTGATGGACACCATCACAGAGCATCTGGGCATCCCCTTGCGGTCCCCCGCTACTACCCGGCCCACCGGGCTGAGCCATGCGGCTGCCAGCTGCCCCGGCCTCCCACATCCCCACCTGTCCCCTCCAGGTCCCCACACCCTCCTGTGACCTTTGCCCACCTTGCAGGCACCCGTTCTCAGGCCGTGAGGTGCCCATCTCGAACGGCTCTGGATTCCTGGTGTCTCCCGATGGGCTCATTGTGACCAACGCACACGTGGTGGCCAACCGGCGGCGCGTGCGGGTGAAGCTGGCCAGCGGGGAGCAGTACGACGCCGTGGTGCAGGACGTGGACCAGGTCGCAGACATCGCCACCATCAAGATCAAGCCTAAGGTGCATGCCACGTGGTGGAGGGGCTCCCTTCCTCGCCTGCCTTCTGCTAACCCGGATCCTCTCTTCCAGCGCCCGCTGCCCACGTTGCCCCTTGGGCGCTCCTCCGAGGTGCGGCAGGGGGAGTTCGTGGTGGCCATGGGCAGCCCCTTCGCCTTGCAGAACACCATCACCTCCGGCATCGTCAGCTCCGCGCAGCGCGGCAGCCGGGAGCTGGGCCTGGCCGCCTCCGACATGGAGTACATCCAGACGGACGCCGCTATCGACGTAAGGCACCTCTGCTCTGGGGAAGGGCTCTGGGTGCCGCGAAGCGCAGGGAGGCTGGGCACAGCAGCCTGGGAGAGGGGTGTTTCTGGTTGGTGGTCTGGCTCTTTCTCGGCCTGAGCCCTGTTCTCTGGGCTCTGCCTCCTCGCTGTGGGTTAGTGCTTGAGGTTTGCTTTCGTGGCCTCATTGCTGCTCTCTCTGCTGTTTCAGTTTGGGAACTCTGGTGGTCCCCTCGTCAACTTGGTAAGTTCTCCTGCATGTGTCCCAGTGGACCTTTTCTCCTGGGGCTGAGTGCCTTCAGTGCAAGCGTCCTCACCTGTGAGGTGGGAAGGAGGAACTGTGTGTGCTCTAGGCATCTTAAGGGGTGGGATCAAGGAATTGGCTTGGAGTGAGAGCCCTGCTTAGTAGGACTCTTCCCTGCCCAGCCTCAGCAAGATCAGACTGCCTGGATGGGACGGGTGCACAGGCTTCAGGTTTTGCAGAGCTCCATAAAGGTGCAGGTTGGAGAACGCAGTGCCCTTTTCCGTGCAGGATGGCGAAGTGATTGGGGTGAACACCATGAAGGTGACGTCAGGCATCTCCTTTGCCATCCCCTCAGACCGGCTGCGGAAGTTCCTGCAGAAGGAGGAACAGCGCAAAAGTGAGTTGGAAGCTTCTCTGCTCGGGTGCTGGGGAACGAGGCCAGAATGAGGGTGATGAAAGAAGGAAGAAGCTGTGGGCAAAGCTGAGCTCCCTGCGCTTCTTCAGGGAGGTGGGCAAACACAGAAGAGGAAGAACCTTTGGGGACTAGGAAGATTCTCCCATTGGGCATGAAGCAGTGAGCCCCTCTGCCGTAGGAAATCCATATGCCATAGATAAGGCTTCCAGGGTTTCCAAGAACTCTGCCTTTTGTTCCTTTGTGTTTGTGGTAAGTTGTTTAATGCAGATTCTTGCTGCCTGGTTCTCACGTTGACATCATGGACTGATATTCTCAAGCAAAACAGTGATATCCTAAACCAAGAAAAGAAACTGTGCAATAGCTATAAAGCCAGTAACTGAAACTGAAATCTTCTGTTGGTAGGGAACCAGAATCACTGCCTTGAGGCGTGCAGGCTCTGTGATTTGCTGGCTCAGCCCTGTGCTTTTTGGGTGCATGTCTGTTTTCAGCACTGTTGTTAGAGGTCCTTTCTGCCCACAGGCTCCTGGTTTGGCAACGCGGAGACGAAGCGCCGTTACATCGGGGTGATGATGCTGACTCTCACACCCAGGTAAGCGCTGTGAGCTCAGCGGGACCGGTCTTGTTGGGAGCTTTTGGGAGGATTGCCTTCACAAGGTTAAGCATTCACATTCAGAAGTCTCTTTGCTGATATGGTGTTCAGACTCTTGTGTGCCTGGGGTAAGTTAGAAGCTTGCAAATTTCTGTTTGTGGCAGAATCTGCAAGCAGATAAAACGTCCCTAAATCTGCCGCATCAGTGTGTAATTTCATTGGGAGTTCCATAAAGAGGCCTTGCAACACAACTTGAACAAAGAGCCACCAGAAGTGTTGTGTAATTAGCAGATAAGCGTTGTGCCAACTGAAAGCTTTTGTGCAAAATGTGTGAATTGTACTCCTGGGAGGAGCGGTCTGGCGGGTGAACTGCTGTGGTACTGAATTCCTGGCAGAATGTGGGACTTTCAGAATAAGAAAGTGCACGTTTGGCTGCTGGGGAAGGAGGCAGGCAGGTTGCAGAGCGGGCTGTGTGGGCACACAGCACGGCTGCCTCTCAGTGCTGTGAGGCTCCTGGCTGGCAGGAGGAAGGTTGGGTGCTGCCTCTGGAAAGGAATGGTGGTGCTGAGCAGGACAGCACTGGAAAATGGGAAGGGGGTGACCTGCAGGCCTGAGGCTCTTCGCCCTCCTCTCTGTAGCCTGGGAAGAGCACTGTGTTTCCTCTGCGTCTGAAGAAATGCTCTGGTTGGCAAAGAGAATTGCAGCCAGACTGCTTGCTTCAGTTCTGCTGGCCTCCAAGACACGGGAGCCAAACCCAGTGCCCGGGGCAGATGCCCTGCGTGCTGTGTTAATGTGCCTTGTTGAGTGCTGGGAGCCCTGCTCAGGCCTATGGAGAGCTCTGCGTGCCCTGGGACAGCATTGCCACTGCTTCACACAGCGTGTTTGCGGCTCCAAGGTGCAGCAAGCGCAGCTGTTAGGGGAGCAGTGGACCTGCAGTCTCCCCTCTGTGAGCAGCCCTCCTCAAAGGTTTTGTGCCTGAGCGGCTCTTGAGAGATCCCCGCGGTGCAGTGTTGGTGGCTGCCGTGTGCCTGGCAGAAACGCGTTTCAGGGCCGAAGTTCTGGCGGCTCCTGTACGGTTGGTTGTGTTTGTGGACCGGATGCCGTGAGCGGTGCTGGCTCCTTGCTGGTGCGCAGGCAGGGGGAGCCCGTCTGCGCTTCGGATGTCGGGCGGCGGGGTGAGCGGGGGGCGCTGCCGGCACCGCAGGCCCAGCAGATGGCGCTCGTGCTCGCCGTTGGCGCCTGGGGAGCGGGCGGGGCGGCGGGCGGCGTGAGGTGGCGGCGCGGAAATGAGGCGGTGTGGAGGCTCAGAGCCACCAGTGCCAACAGAACAGGAGCCGGGGGCGGAGAACGGAGCCCATGTAGGCACCCTATTGCTGCCCACGGAAAGTTGTTACTGAGATTCAAATGATTCTGTAGGGAGGAGAGGAAAAAAGGCTGGGAAGTGTCTTCTCAAATACTATTTAGTATCAAGCTGAGGAAGGGTTGAGCTCCCACTGCCCTGCGTTACAGCATGCAGTATGTGGGGAGGGAGAATAGGGCTCTGAAAACAGAGGTGCTGGTTGTTGGAAATGAGTTCTACGTAAAACATGCAGTGCTGGTGAGGCGTGTTAGCAGGGAAACATTAAAACACATGAGGCGCTTCTCTGTGCTGTGTGATGGGACTTGCTGGCGTAGGGTTGCAAAGAGCAAGTGGGAAACCTAACAGAAGCAGAGCCTTACTGCTGTCATGTGCGCAGGAGCAGCAGGCATGAGGCGCAGTCTCGGCTGCACGATGTCTGTAGATGTGGCCCTGGTCTGAGCGAGCTGTGGGGGGGGCCTTGCTGGGATGGAGATCATTTCTTTTTTAGAGTCTTGTATGGTTTTGTGTTTTGGATCTGTGACCAAAGCAGTGTTGATAACAGAATCACAGAATGGCCAGGGTTGGAAGGGACCTCAAGGATCACAGAGCTCCAACCCCCATCAATGCAGGGCCACCAACCTCCCCGTTGCACAGCAGCCCAGGCTGCCCAGGGCCCCATCCAACCTCCAACACCTCCAGGGATGGACGGGGCGTCACAGCCTCTCTGCAGCTGTTCCAGCCCCTCCCCGCTCTCACAGCACACAACTTCCCCTGACATCCAACCTGAATCTTCCCCCCTTCAACTTCAAACCATTTCCCCTTAACATACAACATACCAATGCTTTAGCTACAGCTGAGCAGCGCTTATGCAGCATCCAGGCCTTCACTGATTCTCATACTTCTCCACACAGGGAGTGGGCTGAGGGTGGGCAGGAGGTGGGGACAGGATGCAGTGGGGGCTTGGCCCCAGCGATGGCCCAGGCTGCACAATGGTATGCTTAGCACTAAAACTGGGGGGAAGCTTTTCCACAGCAGCTGCTCAGCGACTGGGAGGCAGTTACTGTGTTTGTACAGAGACTGCAAAAGGGCACATATGGTTCTGTGTTAGCAAGTGGAGTGAAGAAGGAGATTAGTTGTTGTAAATGTGAGCAGTAGCCCTGGTAGTTCTGATAGTTCCCACTGGCAGGACAAGGGGCAATGGCACAAATTGAAATGTGTGAGATTCCAACTGAACACAACAAACCAATGGCTTTAACTGTCAGAGTGGTCAAACCCTGCAGCCTGAGGGGTTGTGAGTCTCTGTCCTTGGAGATACTCAGCACCAGTATCAGCCTTGGGCAGCCTGCTCTGGCTGGTGTAGGACCAGCTTCCTTCCAACCTCATCTGTGCCATAATACTGCGACATCGAGAAGAGATGGCAGCTTGCAAAGCTCAGTGAAAAAAGGTACAGTGCAGTTCAGCAGCAAAGCAAGGAGCCGTAACCAGTGGGGAGCAAGGAGCTGGGTGCTGTATTTCCTGGGGTTACAGTGGATCTGAACTGGTGCTGAGGCTGTTTACATTATGCACAGCTGTGAGAACCAGCTGGAGTGTTGTATCCAGTGCTGGATGTGTTGGAGAGAATCCAGAAAGGAGAAGAGAGAGGAGAGGAATTGAGAGCTAGGGCTAGAAAAGCTGATCTGGGGGAACACTGCAGGAACTGGGATTGTTTAGTCTAGACTCCAGCAGAGAGATAGAGGTATGCTTCTGCTTGACATTTCTAGCAAAATCAAAAGGATGTAACTTTTCTTCTGTGAAGAAGAGGGAAATGAAACTTCAGGATGGGAGCTGCAAGTCCAATACCAGGAAAGCTGTCTGAAGTGGGGCTGCTCAGACACAGGACTTGCATCACCAGCAGCTGGGATCCAGCTGGCAGCAGTGCTGGTAGTTTCCAGTTCTCCCTAGCACAGTCAGGACTAGTTTTTGTCAGAAAGGTGGTGGCATTCAAGTGACCCCAGAGTTTGCAGCTGGTCACTTGTGCAAGGGCACAGCAGGAGAATTCTGCAGCATTTTCCCCAAGCGTGGTCCTGGCTGGATGGGAGCCCTGCTCTGCTTCCCGGCTCACTACTGTGATGCTCATTTTCCCTCTGCAGCATCCTAGCTGAGCTGAAGCTGCGTGACCCCAGCTTCCCTGATGTCTCCTATGGAGTGCTAATCCACAAAGTGATCATCGGTTCCCCGGCCCACCAGTAAGTGCTGCCTGGTGCCTCGGGGTGGGAGAGCGAGTACACAGGGCGGGATGGGTTTAGCTCTGAGGGCTTTGCTGCAGAGCAGCAGGGGTTGGGGCCCGCAGAGCAGCAATCTGCAGCAGGAGCTGTGTGGAGGAATGTGCTTGGGCTTGGCATCCCTTTGACCAAGCTACCTGTGGAGCTGAAGGAATGCCTGGCACAACAGCCCCAGCTTCCTGAAGTGCCTGGCTCTCCTTCCTTCCTGGAAGACGAAGCCGCAGACAAGCGTCTGCTTCACTTGCCATGAATTTCTTTCCTTCTCCCCTCAGGGCAGGGCTGAAGGCGGGCGACGTGGTGCTGGAGATTAACGGGCAGGCGACGCGCCGTGCCGAGGATGTGTACGAGGCAGTGAGGACTCAGCAGAGCTTGGCCCTGTTGGTGCGGCGCAGCTACGACACCTTGCTGGTGAGCGTCGTCCCTGAGGTCACAGAGTAGCTGTGCTGCAGAGCAGGCCGCTCTGTCTGCTGGCTGACTGCGCCGGCCAGGAGCCGAGGACGCAGGACTGAGGCACATCTGTGTGCCATCGGGGAGAGACTGGGAGCTTGCGAGGGCCTGGAGGGGCCAGGCAGGGGGCAAGGCACTGGGGCAGACTCGGTGTGAAACCACTCCCCTCCGTGCTCAAATAAAGTGCTTTTCTAGGTGCCGTGTGGCCTCCTTTCCCTGGCACACGGTGTCCCAAGTATGACCTGCAAGCAGCTGGGCTGTGAGAGCCGCCTCCTCCTGCCATTGGGAGGAGCGGTGATGTCCTCGGTGCTAGGGGAGGGGTGTCCTGTCACCTCCTCAGCATCTGTGGTCTGGGCTGTGGTCCGATTCCTCCATCCGTAACGGGTGGCTCCTGGGGGCACCTCTGCAAGTGAGAGCGGCCCTGGAGCTGCAGAGGGGCTTCCTGGGGAGAGCCGTCACTGCCTCCCTCCCTGCGCAGGCTGAGCTGCTCCTAGCCAGATCTCACTGCTGTGGCTGCTCCCAGAAGCCTTGTCCTCTGGGTCAAATCACTTCCACGTGGAGCAAGGACTCCAGTGTCAGTGCCCGCGTCTGCATGCTGAGGATCTTCAGTGTGATGGCTGAGCCAACCTCGGATCTGGCCAGAGCAGCGTATGGCCAGCCGGAGGTACAGGAGGACCTGTGGGAGCTGTGCGCGCTGCCTTGGCGCCGTCTGTCTCTTCCTCCTCCCCCCCCCATCCCTCCCCCAGTTGTCTGTCAGCACCAGAGCGCCGCGCTCCCACGCACGGAGGCGTCCCGGGGGACCCGACCGGCCCTTCCCCGCTGCCTTTCTCGCTTGCTCCCTCCCCGTCCTCTGCAGCTGGCGGCCAAGAGCTGTGCTGAGAGGGAGCAGCTCGGGCTGTCCTTGCTTTCCTGGAAGAGCCCCGCTCCGCTCCAGCCCCAGCGCTCTGCCAGCGGCCGTGGGAGGCGAGGAGCGGGGAGTGGGGAGCGGCGCTGCAGTGACCCGACTCCAGCGGCAGGAATGCGAGCAGCGGCCGGGCTGTGCCCGCGGAGGGGCTTTTGCCCCCCGTTGGTGCTTTTAGATGAAAGCAGCACAGTTCCTTGGGGGGCTGTGGCGGAGGGCAGCTCCCAGCGCCGCTCCCGGCGTTCCCCTTCTGCCGCCCAGAGAACAGAACAGGGCTCCTTTCAGGCTGGCCCTGGCCTCGCCGCTGGAATTTGTTCCCCGGCGAAGCCCAGCCGCGGGAGGGGCGGCAGCGCGCAGGGGAAATAGCTGGGACGTTTCTCACATAGCTGCTCCGGCAGCGCTGACCGCAGCGCTTTCCAGGGCCGCGGCCAGGGCCTGCCCTGCTGCGTGCCGACGGACCGAGCTGCTCCTCCGTGCTGCTCTGCAGACGGGGCCAGAGGTGCTGGCTGAGGGATGAGAGGTGGCTCCCGCTTACCTGAACCTCGTACCCCACATCCGTCCAGTCTCGCCGGCTCAGAGGGGCTTTGCTCCCCCCACGCCGCTCCCTGTGGGGTTGCTCCCTTTGGAGGCAGCCCGGAGCTGCAGTCCCTGCGGGGCTGTTGGGAGTTCGCACTGCTTGGGATTCCTGCCGCATAACATCTGTGTTGCATCTGGCGCGGGGCATCCTGTGCTGGGCTGCATCGGGGCTGAGCCAGGGTGGCCCCATCTGCTCCCGCTGCTGTGGGCCTCCCACAGCCCCAAGAGCTGCTCTGGGGCATCTCTGGGCTCCCGCAGCCCCTTCTTCTGCCCTGCAGAGGGGCAGCTCCTCTACCCCGTGCAAAGCGGACCCCTGGGTCATGCTTCCTCGCTCTCCCTCCCACCCTGGAGAGGAGTCAGCAGGATACAGAACTGACATCTTTATCAAGAAAATAAAATTACAACTAAGACACGGGTGTGGGAACCGCTGCCGGGCAGCCAATGGCAGCACTGCTGTGCAGGGCAGCCACACTGTCTGGAGATGGGGCTGCTGGAGCGCGAGGGCGGCCGGCCCTGAGCAGGGATGGGGGTCCCTGGGTGGGGTCCAGCTGCCGGAGGCGGGCAGAGCCCCAGAGAGGGTGGAGCAAGGTGAGGGGAGCTGGGGCTGGGGAGCAGGAGAGGCACAGCTGGGGTGGTGGGGCCTCCCCGGATCGTACCCTTGTGCTGCAGCCTGACTGGGGTGCAGCGTCTGGCCAGTGGTCGAGGGCTGGAGGTGCGGTGCTCAGGGCCCCCAGCCCCGGCAGTGAGTCCTGGGCAGTCCCTCGCGCAGTGCAGGCTGTGATGGGGCTGTGTGAGCCCCCGCCAGCCCCACAGCGGCTTCCTCCTGCACGCAGGGTGAAAGAGGGAGATGGCATCTCCCTGGGCCCGGGCCCTATGAGATCTGGTTGTTCAGCTGCCCCGGGTACTGCTCGAACCGCCGGCTGGCCTCTTCGCTGAGCGCATCACCTGTGTGATAGGGTGAGAGCTGTGGCTCCGGTGCTGCCTTGCCACCATCTCTGCTTGTCCCCAGCACCCCCAGCTCCTTCCTCTGCACCTGCCCACACCCCACTGCCTGCTCAACCCCACACCCTGCCCACGGCTCTAATTATTCCCAGCCCCGATGTGCCTCAGCCTGTGCCACGTCCCCAGTTGTTACCGATGTGACAGCTGTGCACCCAGATGCGGTGCCCGTCGTATTTGCAGTTGCATTTCATGGCGTTGTTGGTGAAGTCGCTCTCTGCCACCTCAAAGTTGGGGTTGATCACCACCTGTGGGGCAAGCATGAGTGGGTCACACAGCCCTGCACATCTCCAGGCAGCGGGGCAGGCACAGTCTCCCCATGCCGCAGCTCCTGGGGCTGTGCATCCTGTGAGGACCACGGGGCAGAGGCGAGCTCCAGAGCCTGCCCAGCCCCGCGGCACAGCCCACTCTGTGCACTCTCAGCACATCCTATGCATTGCTACTAAGGGTGTGAGGGGCTGGGCACAGCTGCAGCACCTGCAGGATGTAGTTGCCTGGCTTGACATCAGTGATGTCAATCCACTGGCAGTCGATGTCGTGCCGGTACAGGTCCCAGCAGCCCACCGTGATGCCCTGCTCCCCAAAGTTGGCACACTCGTACCGCTTGGCCACATCTGAAGGCAGGAAAAGAACACGGCTTGTCCCTCCTACAGCCCCTGCATGGGGGGGGACGCAGCGGGGACCCAGAGCTTCGTGGTGCCCCGCAGCCTCACAGCCCCACCTTCCTCGCACTCAGTGTCCTCGAGGCAGAAGCTGGCTTTGTGGCCCTCAGCCACCTTGGTGCCGTTGGGAGTCAGGATGTCGTAGTGGGTGAAGATGTCCATGCTGTGATAGTGCCTGTGAGAGAGTCCACAGTGCCCGCTGCCCCAGAGCCAGCCCCTCAGGGAGGGCAGAGGGGCGGAGGGGTGGTGGAGGAAACCCCCGGAGTTGCGTGCCCATCCCTGCTGCTCAGGAAGGTCTGCACGGCCCCTGCTCTGGATGCAGCACAGCAAGGCTGAGGCACAGCTCAGCCTCACCCAGGGCTGGGATACGGCTGCCACCAGTCAGACGGCCCAGACAGGGGAGGTTTCCCCAGGGTGCAGCCTGCAGCCCAGTCTTAGCGCCGCTCCTCCAGAGACAGCCCTGAGCCAAACTGGGGAGAACAGCATTAGAGCCCTCACCCAGGCTCTGTGCCTTGCGCAACGCCACTGTGACCTGGCATCACCCTCACCCTGTGGCATTGCTCTCATCCTGTAGCATTACCCTCAGCTTGTGTCACCAAGCCCGGCACAGCACCATCGACCCAGCCCAGGCCATTCCCAACCCGCCCGCCTTCCCTGCCCCTGCCACGCACGCACCGGTGACACTCGTGCCAGACCCAGGAGTGCCGCCCAGCCTTGGGGCGAAAGTCAGCGCGGCCGTTGTTGTGGATCTGGGAGGAGAAGCGGAGCAGACGGCGGTGCCCATAGGGCCAGTTGGCATGGCGGGCTGAGCTGGACAGGCAGTTCTCCTCGGCGGCGCAGTACAGCATGTGCAGCGGGCGGTCCTCGATGTACGCCGTCTCCTGCACCAGCGGGGCGTGCAGCAGCAGGTCGGAGGCGGCTGGGGACAGATGGCAGCTCAGGGCTGTATGGCCGCCCCAGGCAGCGCAGTGCGGGGCTGAGCCAGCTGGGAGAATTCATGGCCATCCCTTCGTTGGGGCACAAATCGAGCCTATGGCCCCACCCCCTGCAGCTTATGGGCTCTCAATCATCATCCCCTGGACCCACAGCCGCGGTGCCTGCAGACACCACGGCCCGCAGCCCCATGGCTGGTTGCCCCCATTGCCCGCAGCCCCCACGGTCGCTCACTTTCAGAGCAGATGACGCCCGCAGCGAAGCGCGTTCCCGTGTTCCTGCAGTTCAGGCTGCTGCCGTGGTGCTGGCAGTGGTTCAGGGACAGCTCGTGGCCGGCGCACTTCACCCCACTCAGCACCATCTCCGTCACGTTGCTGGCATCCCAATACCACGTTTCCTGGGGTGGGTGAGAAGGCCGGGCAGGAAGCCATTCATGCTGTAGTACCCCAGCCTTGCACCCACACACCCACAGAGACTCCATCCCACGGCACGGATCAGCCGCATCCCATCGCCCCGCGCAGCCCCGTGGCAGTCAGGGCAGCACCAGGGATGGCCACCGCACCGCAGCGCCCCGCACCTACCGTCACCGCGTGCAGGGAGTAGCCCAGGCCCAGCTGGCGACAGACCACCATCGCCTCCTTGGTGGTCCAGCCGTCGCTGCACACAGTGCCCCACTTACTGCCACGCTTCACCTCCACGCGGCCCTCGAACTCCGTCCTCCCCCCGGCCAGGCGGATCTGCGGGAAGCCCTGGGGCCGTCATCACCCCGCAGTGCCCCGCACCGCCGCCCCCCCGCATCTCCGTCCCCGCAGAGCAGTGGTGCTGCTGTCTCGCCTCCCCGGCCATGCTGGCTCTGGCACCTACTTGCAAGCCGTGGTTAGCGAATCCCAGCCCCAGCTGGCGACAGGCGACCATCGCCTCCAGCGTACCCCAGCCTTCGCCGCACACCAGGCCCCAGCGCGGCTCATCCCCTTCTGCAGCCCCCACCGCCACCTCCACGCGCCCCTCGAAGCGGCTCCGGCCCCCGCTCAGCCGAATCTGCGGAGAGACGCAGCGGCTGCAGCGCCGTCACTGCGAGCAGCGCCCCGGTGCAGCAGCAATGCCCAAAGCGGGCAGAAAGATCCATTTCAGAATGGCATTCCCATTTCTGAAATGACGGGCGTGGGAGTGTTAGAACGGTTAAGAAGTCCAAAGTGGATGAGATGAGGGGGTGCAGCACGCTGAAAGGCGCCGATCCGTTCGCTCATTTCATCAGCAGTCCCCAAAAAAATCTCTCACAGCAATTTTTTTTGGGGGTGCTTCAGGTGCGGATGTGGCAGCGGCAGGCAGAGCTGCACAGTGTGAGGGATGCTGCTGAGCCCCACAGCCCCCTCCCATCCTGCCTCCTCACAGGGCAGCGTGCAACCCCTGAGATCCCCACCCCCCAGGGCAGCCCTCGTCCCAGACCAGGGGGAAACAAGGGAGCCAAAAGGGAACCAGCAGGGGACAGCCTACATTGGGTCCCATGTGACCCCACGCTCTCTAAGTGCCACGGACACCACTGCCATCCCTCAGTCCCCCTGCAGACTTGCAGCCCCCCCATGGCACGTACCAGGTTCTCGTAGCCCATGTAGGGGATGTTGCAGCGCACGGCCGCATCCTCCGTGTGCTTGCAGTCCTCCTGCGTGATGTTCTTGAAGGGGCAGCTCCAGAGGGACTTCTCAGTGCCCAGGCACTGCACCTCGTTCAGGTGGATGGGCCCCGTCCCTGCAGAGGAACGGCAAGGCTCAGTGAAGCAGCACAGGGATGCTGTAGCCCTCCCATCCCCACAGCCCAGCCCTGCCCTCCCCAGCTGCCACCAGGGGCAGACCGGCCCAGACTTTCCCTGCCCCTGCCACGCTCACACCAGTGACACTCAAGCCAGACCCAGGAGTGCCACCCAGCCTTGGGATGAAAGCCCCAGCTCTGGAGATGCTCAGGGCAAAACCCACACCCTGCATCCAGGCGCCCACAGGGCACGTCCAGCAGAGAGGGCTGAAGGCAGTGCCTGACCCCTCTGCCTCAGCACGCTTACCTTGGCCCATGCGTGCCCCGGTGAGGGCCTCCTTGGCGCTGCCGAAGCCCAGCTCACGGCAAACCACGCTGGCAGACAGCAGATTCCAGCGGTCATCGCAGATTGTGCCCCACTCGTTGTTCTTCAGCACCTCCACACGGCCCTCCCCAGCCTTGGCACCGCCTTTCAGCCGGATCCGTGGCTGTGGGGCAGAAGGGTCAGGGCACAGCATGGCACGGCATGGTGCAGCACAGCATGGCACAGCATGGCACAGCACGGCACAGCACAATGCAGCACAACATGGCATGGCACAGCACGGTGTAGCACAGCATGGCACAGCATGGCACAGCATGGCAAGGCATGGCACAGCATGGCACAGCATGGTGCAGCACAGCATGGCATGGCACAGCACGGCACAGCATGATGCAGCACAACATGGCATGGCACAGCACGGT